ATGCATTCTGGGTAGATGGACTGAGATTTTTAATTCCTGTATCTATATTGCCACCACTATCTGTTCACACCATGAAAAACATAGCTCAAAGAGAATGATGATATAACTGTTATGCTACATACAGAATGATACTAATGTGCATCAATTGACTGCTTCTCTTAGGTTTATATGTATTTGTTGTAGACCTGAGTAGAAATACAATATTATGCTGGTTCTCTTCTTGTACTCCCATTGTGTACAACCCCTCCCCCAACATATCATGGCAATATTTAATCATACATTTGAAAAAGTATTATCAGGGCTGTGTAATAAATAACTGTGCCACATACCCAGAGGCATTATTCACCTTCCTGCAGGATTTCCCTGCATTGGACCCCAGGAGGGAGCCCACAGGCTCTGATCTGTATATAGTATAACAGAAAACCTCTTTAGACTGACACTAAAGCAGTCTAAAACACTGATTTACCCAACTATTCTCCACTGTGTCTCTTCTCTTGCTGGCTATTTCAAATTCATCTCTCTGCCCTTGGTAACTACTGCAAAAGGGTGAAGAAGTTTACTTAGTCACACCGAGTTAAGGGAGATGAAGAAAGTCTCTGATTCTGTGTGTGTGTGTGGGCGAAGGTGTGTGTTTGTGTGTGTGCACTCTCGCATGTCAGTGTGGTGTGGTTTGCACTTGTATTAGTGTGTATGTGTGCGGGTGCAAAATGCAGAAATGTACACACAGCCCTGTTTGATCCAGAGCTAGCCCTGCAGCTCCCAGATACTCAACAAAAGGCCTCCTCTATCTATTGTATGAGCTGTGTGTTTCCCAGGAGAGCTCGGGCTCAGCGAGAGAAGGGCCCCAGATCGCTTTCTCCTCACATGGATGTTATTCGCTCCACGGTCCAGCAGAACACTGTCCAAAAGGACTGGCCTTAGCATCTTGACGTAATTGACACATAGTGTTGGGAAAGAGAGCCAGAGGGTGTGAGGAAGAAAGAAAAAAAAAGTGAGTGTCTTGACAGATGACATATGAGACAGACAGACAAAGAGAAGGCCTGTCTATAAAGGTGTTCTCATATGAAAAATAATATGTATTGTGTTCTCCACCATTTTATGTGCTCCTTGTCTTTACACTAGTCAGTTTCCTTGTCAACCTTGTTCATGAATGTAGATCCGCCCGGTGGGTGGGTAGAGATTTCACCCTGATCTTGACAAGCTCTCCCATCCCTGACTGCATACTAATTTCCCCAGAACTACTGAACCAATGTAAAACAAATACAAATTGCCTGGGCTGCTGTTCATAGCTTGAGAGGCAGGGTCTTTGGAGGTTAGCAGAAAGTAGCTATCTATTGTGTGTATGTGATTAATCAGATTGTCTGCTGTGGACAGAGGAGCTTAAAGGGACAGCTAGTTGGCTTTACGATATCTGTAGGAATCTGTCAATATTCTGAGCTAATGAAGGGAAGTGTAAAAAAAAGATGAATTCATTCACCAGTCAATTAAAAGTCCATCAAATGTCCAACGCGATCAGGCAGACAACAACTGATTTTGACAAAGACATGTCTGTATTTCACTTTTCGGGCAATCCTCAGCTGCTCTCTCTTCACCAGCTGTCTTTATCTAAGAGTTTTGAACGCTATATCTATCAGAGTACTTCACTTTCTCTAACGATATCTAAAAGTTTCCTTGAGATTGGGAGTGCCTGCGGGGGTTGACCATAGATCTTAGTAGAGCTTCAGAAGCAGACAGTTGAAAACAAACAGGGTAGGCTGATACCATCTAATCTGTTGAACACCATTATCGTCTAATATATCGCTATACCCCCCTCCATACGGTGCATGCACCCACCCTCCAAACCAGACTTACTCTCTCTCTCTCTCTCTCTCCACCCTTTGAGGTAAAAAGCTTGTGTGTTGAGGCTGAGAGTGAATGTAAGCCATTGTTATGGTGTAACCGGACTCCACAGCAGGTTGTTTGATCCTGTTTGGGCCTGAAAAGCCCTTTTTTGTTTCTTGAACTACCACATCAGCTGAGAGGTTCAGACAACAGACTCTATTTGTAGAGTCCTCTGTCTGTCTGCTTCTCTTTCCTTTCTTTCTACTTTCCATTCTCACTTCATCGGTCTTAATCTGTCATCCAGATTCAAATGTTTAGTCCAAAGCTTTAATTACCATATAGAGGAGCGTGCACTCATTCACAAACTGTACTTAGACACAAACGTATGCTTTTAGGCACACTCTGTCGCTCTCAATTACTCCTTCTTTCTCTCTACCATTTTTTCCCCTTCTTGTACCTTTTTCTCTGTACAGACACTGGGATTATATTCCTCACTTACACCTCTGTTATGGAAACAGCAGAAGAAAATGTTACTGGAAAGTGTTTGAATGACAAAAGCTGTAAATTGTTTTGTTCGCTCACAATACTAGTGATACCTCCAAGCTCTTGTTGTGTTCCTGTTTACCCAACATCATCTCATTATGTACAGTACAACATAGAATCAGGCTGCCGTATTGTCGAATGTGTTGGGCGCCTACTTGCAGTTCTACGCCTTTGTTACGGTTTTGGCATTGTGTTCTGAATTTATGATCTGTTTGGCGTTCAGTGTGGACAATGTGCATGCAAATATCTCCGTCCCATTCTGCCAGCTGTCGTTGTACATCAGCTTTCCTTCCTTAGAGGTATAGATGTAAAGTTGGAGGGGGGGGGGGAATGGCCCTGTAGGTTTTTGTAGGGAGATTTGTGCGGGTACACATACACACACACACACACACACACCCCCATCTGTGCCCCCAACCCATTTCAGATGTGAGAAACTGTACCGTCATTTGCATAAGAACAATTGACACTTCAACTTAGCCTTCCAATCAAAGAGGATTCTTTTTTTCAGCAGATGTGCAGCCATTGCCATATTGGAGAATATAAAAAGGGAGGTCAAAAAAGAGCATGGATAGGGGGAAACATGTCATAAAAGATTAACCCTTTAATTTGCTCATCTCAGAGTAGAGGATTTGATATGGCTTTTTATTGCAAATATAACTTGATATGCAGTAAAACAGACTTTTGTAGAGAATATAAAGTGTTTTCTTCTCGCCTCAATCAAGAGTTCCTATGACTGCCAGTTAGGAACAATGTATTTTTTTTCCTGACTGATAGGTATTTATCTTTTGAAGCATTAGGTGCAGTGACTGTGTTATGTGCACGTTTACACATCTATACTCACCTCGGTGGCATTGGACGTAGGGCAAGAGAGTGAGTGCTATTAAGTAGAGTGTGCATGTGTGTCAATGTGAAAGTGTGCGGATCGAGGATTTGCTCACATCAAAGCATTAAAGCAAGTGCAATGATGAATTATTGATAATGGCTAATGAAAAGGATCAGTTCAGGATGAACTACAAGCTTAGCCCTGAGGGTTAACACACATTCATACACACAAGCACCATTCAAACACCTATTTGAGGTTTTAACAGGAAAACTGGTGCAAGCGTACTAGGTATTCTCTGTCTATATCTCATTGTTTGCCCCATGTTCTATTTTATCCACTCCAGTTAAGAGCAATGGAGGGCCCAACATTGGGACAAGATAAAAGCACTGTGCTTCCTGGCCTACCAGCTGACAAGCAGGAAGTCTTCATGAGGCTGAGCCTTTTTTGGGGGAGAATAAGGGAGAAGGCTTCAGTTTTGGGGGAAGGGGATAGAGAATGGGGGTTGACGGTTTGAGGGCTGAGGGGGGGAAAGCCTCGGCGCCAGCCCCTCTGAAGCGCTCAGCATCCCCCCACTTATGGGATGGCGGATGTGTCTGGGGGTAGCCATGACAACACTGCTGCATGCCAGGGACATACCACGGCAACAGGGACAAGTAGAGTTGGTGTCGATGTGTGCGTGTGAGTGTGTGTGTGTGTGAAGATCCATTAAGGCCCACATATCTCGTTGACATTAATATTCACTCGGTCAGACAGGAAAGCCACTGCTGCCTCAATCAGTTTGCTGTTAGTCAGGCACAAATCACAGACACCTTTATTTTAGACTTGGAGGCTTAACATGAAAAATATCCACAGTATACATGCCCTCTTGTAAGTGAATGTAAGCTAGTTTCTGTAGTTTGACACAGTTGTCAAGGAAAGCACCTACTTGCTAATGATTGGACATGGCACAGTTTTATACTTGTAGGATATAGTTTATACTCACACAGACACAGAGAGGTGCCCCCTCACATTCACTCAGGTCATGAAGCATGGTCAGGTCTCACTTACTCTCTATAACAAACATGCTCCCACACACTGACACACACACACACACACACACACACACACACACACACACACACACACACACACACACACACACACACACACACACACACACACACACACACACACACACACACACACACACACACACACACTGCTGTGTTATAATAATCCCATATGGGACAGCAGGGATTCTCACTCAGAAAGTACCCATATAATGATGCTCTGTTGAGTTCCTGTGTGTGAGTGTGTGTCTGTAGAAAAGAGAGTGTAAGTTGCTATATGTGTCATAGGTTATATACTGTTTTATTTTTTACCAAATCCCAGCCCACACACATACACATGCTCACATACACATGCATGAAGAGTCAAACTCAGACCCTGTGGGAGTGTATTTTTAACCCCGGCTGCCTGTGCATTTGCTGAGGGGTTAAAGGGCCGAATGGTGAATCAAGTAAATAATTCACAATAGCTGAAACTCTTTCGATGTAACCTCAGAATGCATGGGGGGAAGGAGACCAAAGAGACTTAGTTACGTACTTGCACACAATAGTCACATCCAATATTGCTTGGTGTTTTGAGTGTACTGAGAAAAAAGTAGGCCAAAAAGAAATATCCATTAAGTCAAACAGGGCTCGCATCTTCTGATAAAGTCTGACTCTATTCAGCGTCGGAAAAATGAAATCTATACCTTCCATGTATGTGTGTTAATTTCCGGGTAAACTTACAACTATAGTACTAAAATGTTTTGTCTATTTTGTGTTTCTAGGTTGGATGGTGACCTCGTAGATCATGACCCAGAAACAAATGGCATAGAGACTGAAGTCTCCAGACTAAGGACGTCAAGGATATTCAGCTGATCTCAGAGGTGACTGCGCACTCCCCTTTCAAGCATTGACATTTCTTCCATCTTATTATATGGGCAATATTTTACGATTTCCCTGCTATGGATCAGTGGTCTCTGCATCCTTTTTCTCAGAGTATTCTATATGAAAGTGTCTGTAAGACATTTTGAGTGACATTGCTTCTGTCAAACGGCTGATTGAAGGAGACACAGAGAGACATGCTGTGCTAATGAAATCGCCTGACCCACATCTTTTAATGCTATCCATTTCTCCAAAGACACAGAAAGGGCATTTATACAGGTAAACCATGACTGGTCCCTGAAGTGAAAGAAGGGTTTTTCAGAAGGACGAGGAGCATCCATTATTTACTATACTGGGGTTGCTAGACACTTAGGAGATAATGCAGTGCTTCAAGCATACAAAACATAGAGCCTCCTCTGTGCTGGCAAGGCCATTGTTGTGTGTTTTGAACATGTCTGTTTCCATCCATACTGACAGATGAAAAAGAATATGTCTCCGTAAGGTTCAGAAGCACGGACAGAGATAGAGAAATAAGGAGAGAATAGGATGGTGGAGAGATGTGTGTGTCAGCCATATCTTTGTGTATGTTTTGTTTATTCATGTCTGTGCATTTGTACATGTGTGTCTTTTTATTGCCACCAATCTGTGTGTTGGCCTCTGCTTGTACAACAGTGTCCTCACCTACCCATGTTTATATAGTCTAAATGAAGTAATGGTACACAGTGCAAGCACATGCATCTTGTTTCTCATGCAATGACTCTCAGTAGTCTCTAGCAGGTCTCATGGGCTTCAGTCAGCAGCAGCAGCCTGCTCCTCATGGAGAGTGGATGCATCTGACTGTAGTCTACTGGGAGTAGTTAGCATAAGGGGAGCAAAGCATACAACTCTTCCACCCTGTTACCAGACTTGGGGCAACACCAGGCACTACTTTCTGCATTTGTCGATTTCCTGAGGGACAATTTGACATGAAATCCTTTTGTGTGGATGAGGGGAGACCACTCCCAAACAACCCTGTATTTTTCTGCATATATATGCATTGTGATGGAGAGCATGACAACTGTCTATGTGTATTGATCTCGTCTGGGAAAATCAGGGTCCACTAAAAATCACAAAAATTAGAAGGACAAAATAAATATATATTTTTTAATCAAGTTATGTTGGTGATGTACAACATTATTTTAAAGGTATCATACTAGAAGGAATGAGTTTGAGTCAAAGTAAGTCAATCTGACAATTAAAGAAACATCTTTACAAGTCCACATTCGTAATTGGTGAAAGTACAACTGTTGGTTATCATGCATGGTAGTGTTTGTACTGATTTTACTTGGGCTGCATTGTTGCAGCTATTTTCATTTACATTATAAACATCAAGCTCAGATCTTCCTGTTCAGTCTGTGAATTTCAAATTTGATGTAACCTGAATATCAGAGATACTGAGAACTATCAGCAACGTTGTGGATCCACACACAAACACACACACACAAGCACTGCGGACATCATCCTTATATATAGGCATCAAACTGCAGTGTCAGCAGAGAAGATGGGGAGGTTGCAGAGAGAGGCACAGGCACATCTAGCGTTGACTAAGATCAGCTGCCACAAATAGACAGGCAGGCCAGGAAGGCAGTATGTGCCCTTGAGGTGCCGTGTGCAGGCGGGTGGTGTGCTTCAGTTGTCTGAATCCACCTCCCTTCATCTTTATACAGATGGGCTGAGTTGGACTGTTGATGGCTCAGGGACCCTCTGCCAATCCTGAACTGCTCTTTACTGTCAGCCAAAAATCAGAGAAATGTGTTGAAAGAGAAAGTATGGTCAAAACTGTTTTCTAAATGCTTGTAAAAAATTAGGGGAGGAGTTGCTGACTATCAAGAGTGTCAGAAAAGATAAATCAGCAATTTAGAGTTTACCTTAAGGAAACTCTTTTGTTAAGTCATTGGATCTTCAAATGACGTGCTACTCGGCCATTGTGGTGTGATGTTGTAGACAACAACACCATACACAGAAAATGTAACTGAACCAGTCAGACAACCTTACTGTCTCAAATAACCCCAGCTGTTCTCTACAGCCTATACGTTCATATCGGGCCCCATACCTTTCATGCTTGTCAACAAGCTCTATAATTCTGGGGAAATATAATACCATAATGTCCTCGTAAAGAAGGGAGTGTCAAGTATGGGAAGAGTAGTGGGGGAGGGCTGGAGGTGCAGGTAACCTAGGTTAGCTGGGTGTACAGGGGATCCGATAAGGCGTTCCCCAGACCTTACAGTCTACCAGTCTCCTCTATGAGAGAATAATAAGCAGCTGTAACCCTGAGACACTCCCAGGCCTGTGTCCTCAGCTACAAAAACATTCACCGGTCGTCTTATCAGGTTCTAAGGATATCACGTAAGACAATACATGTGAGAAGTGCAGTGGGAACAATGGGAGGAAAGTGCAGCGTGATATGAGGGGGACTAATGTCAGCGGCTATTGTTCAGGCCTTTGTCACTGTCAAGTACACCGGGAACTCACAGCTCACTGAACTCCTTTCATTCAAAGATCTTGCTTTGGGATGTGATGAAACTCTACAACATGTGTTGTACACACTAAGATTATGTGTTTGTTGAAAAATGTAACATACAGGTTGCTTTAAGAGCCCCTCTGGCTGGGGATGATGATTTAGTCTCACACTTCATAGTTTCTAAGATTACCTTTTTTAGGTGTAGATGTAACACACACAGGATGTTATTAAAGCCCATTAAAAGTTGACACCTTGATGCTTTGATATTGTTAATATAAGGTATTGTCAAATGAGATTTCCTGGATTTTTAATCATTGTCATATTTCTCTTTTTTTTTTATAGGTATACGAGTTCTTCTGATCAACAAGAGATGAGCTTGAATATCGTCAAGACAGAAGCTTCAAGATGTCCCATCAGAAATCTCACAATCTCTAGGAGTTTCATGTTACTCTCTACGACTCTTGAACCCTCACCATATTCTTGTTTCAGTCTTTGTGTCAAATGGTGATATAAGATTGACCAAACTGAAAAGTATTGTGACCTTGCACTAATATATATATTTATTTATTTGTATATGGGAGAATATTTTATAAGAAGAAATGATGAAAATATACTCCACTTTGAAAATTGCATTTATTTAATGTAACTGATTGAGTCTAACAAGTATATTTTTTGACAGCAAAATAAAGGCATTTTTTTTTACTTTAAGTGATGTTTTAGTGTGAGTTATTTCCTCTTCTCTGAGTAGTGCTCTGGCACTCCAGGTAAAGAACAATGTGCTTGACATAATTGGGTCCTATTTGGTTATGAAAAGAGCATGCACACTGATAAAAGCTGGCAGAGTGATCAAAGCCCAATGCGTCCCGATCAAAATCATACACCTGACACAGTTGTAGTTTATCCTGACAGACTAACGAAATGTGGGGAAAAGGTTCAGACAGAAGCCTCCCAGTTTAGAATTAGCTCGATTTCACACTCTGTGCTGTTTCTGGTGTACTTCTCTATGTCTGTCAAATCAAATATATCTGTGCGAAATACAAAATAGCAATTAAAAATTGGAATGATATGCTTCTTTTTGTTGCCATTTCTTCTCCATGCTGCATGTCAGGTTTATGTTTTTGAAAGAAAAATACAACAATCTAACTTTCGTATCGCTGTTAAAGTTTCCCCTGAATCTACTCAATGTACAACAAGAAGGATCACAAGTAAGATCCATAACATCTTGACAAATTGTTTCTTATAGGATAGATGCATCATTTTCTTCCCTTCTCAATCTTTCATTACTCTCCATTCATCTTTTTTGCTTCCCCATTTTCCCTTCTCCTTCCTAATCATATTAATTCTCACTGTCCCTTCCTACTTAACATTAATTCTCACTATTTTTCTCACACTTACACCATCTTCATTTCCTTTACAGCATCACTCTTCTTTTCTACAACCATCTTTCAGTCCCGCCCGTCCCCCCTCATATTCCCCCACCCGAACCATTCTCTTGCTACCTTTCTCTCTCCGTTGTCTCTCTCCTTCTCAGATGTCAGATCACAGTCTACTCTTCCGCTTGCCCTGTCATCACATTTTTCACACAACCCCATCCCTTAATTGGGCCTGTATCATCATATCATGTAGAATATCTGATCACAGCAAGAGATGAAAGATGGCCTCCACCTATCCCCTCCCAGACAGACAGACACAAACACATACTATACACACACACACACACACACACACACACACACACACACACACACACACACACACACACACACACACACACACACACACACACACACACACACACACACACACACACACACACACACACACACACACACACACACACACACACACACACACACACACACACACACACACACACACACACACACACACACACACACATCAGTAGTCATGTGGGACAGGAATCCAAGCTGATACCTGTGTCAATTTTTACACACCATGTTTGCACCAAGTTGTCGATGTGATTGTTACAACGTGACAGGTGAGATGGTGGGTATTCCGCGAATGTCCACTGATGTTCGTATCAGCTGCTAGTGGCTTTTGTGATGAGACAAAGGATGCCCTGGAGCCAGCAGTGTCACATCTGCAGGTAACTAGCAAAATAAAGGAAACAACAACAAAAAGTGTCTCAGGAGTACTAAAATAGCTCCAACATGTCTCTGCATCAACTTGAAGGATACAAAGATGAAATCTTGAGCAAGATTTGCAGTCATTTCTGTTGCTGGCAGACAATGCTTCCCAAATATGGTGTACTATAACAATTACTCATATAATGGAATACAATTATGAAAAGGGCCACACCTTCAAAGTGCCGAGTAAAACTGAAACCCTCTTGACAAGCATATTGTGTCACACAGCTGCAAAATCTTACTTTTCCTTAAGTGTCTAATTCTGAACATCTAAGATCTCATTTCTGGCTGAAACTTTATATTAGTATGTTGGCATTACATCACAATAAATCTAATCATGTTATTTTGAGTAATCTTTAAATGTAAATAAAAAGTGTAATGTTTGCACAAGCAGAAGCCCACTTTCTTTTGGAGGCCTTACCAGGTGAAACTAGTCAATTTCCCCCAAAAACAGGCCGCACCCATTGTTGGTGTTCACATAATTTTGCCAATTGTAGCTGACACCTGCACTCAGATGTTTAGGAAAAAAATATTTTCCATTTAATTACCATAGTTCATACAGAATATATACTGTGTCACTATGTGGGTGTAAAGTCTACAAAAAGTTCAAATGTCAGAAGTAAATCCTGATCACAGAGCATGCAAATGTAGTTCTATTTACACGTGGAAAACAAAATGCAATGGTCTGCAACAAAACGGTTTTGATGGAAAAAAACGGTATATCCACAGATATAGAGGAAGAAAAATGTGTTTGTTGGTTAAAGCGAGGACTCTAGTTTTAATTAGGACACTATATAGGTCACAGGCCTGCTTTCTGCAGGTGATGTCAAACAAAGTATTTTAATTATTGTAATTCACTACATTTGTTTTCCTTAGCATTTGGACGTTTTTAAGATCACAGTTTTTTTTATTGTTAGACTGCAAAGCCCAACAAAGTTATAAGCCTGTTTCTCTGTTCTGCTGACATGACAAGAATATTAATATGCTTTAATGAGTGTAGGTTCGAGCATGGGAAAATATTTTCGTAATTAGATTTTGGGCTGGATACATGCAAAATCATTGATCGTGTGTTATAAACTGCACACATGCACTACATGACTGTATTGTGATGAAGACTTTATCAATAACCAGGCTTTATCCATGAAATAAAATGCTCACTACAGATCATTCCGTATTGCGGTACTTGGTAAATTAATGTGTAGTTTAAAAGAGACATAAGAAACGTGCGAGACATGGACCCTATATGTCTTCCTGGAATTGTAATGCAGCTGTCTACCTCTTTCAGTACAATTGAATTGAGCCGGGAGCAGTTGGGAACCACAAAGATCTCAGATGGCACTTAGGATTGATCTCCTTAAGGCAGTAAAAAATATAAATGCAAGAATTCTACTATTGAAGCAGAGCTTTAAAGAAAAAAATCTTCTTTTTACATTAAGGTGTTTTTTGGCCCAGAAACATGACCTTGGAAGCTGCTGGCAGGCAGAGTAAAGAGTAAAACTTCTAAACTCCATTATGTGATAGAACTTTTTTGCTCCTTTCTTTGTCTCCCTGCTCTTTTTTCTACTAGACGGCACAGTATTTCACTTTTATCTACAGATAGCAGGACTTTGTGTTATCTTATTTTGTTGGGTAGAAGATTCACAAGTACTATCCGCCCCGTGATCCCAACAGACGACAAGATACAGAACTCTAGGTCTGTAAAACTTCAGAGTGAGAAAAATGAGGTCTTACTGAAACTACATTTGGTGTGTGTTTAACTCTGGTTATTGCCTAAGAGGATCTGGAAATCAAAGAAGCTGCCGGCTGCATCAGGTTATAGAGCTATGAGATATAATACAAGGATGTGTGCAGATTGTTAAAAAGCAGCTTGTTTAAGATCACATCTGAAATGTGGTGCAGAAACATGGAGTGTTATTGAATTATTCAAGGTTGTTGGGTGTTGGAACTTTACCAAAAAAAAGCACTACTTCTCAAATGAAAATGTAGTCGCATGTTATGAGCAACTTTTCACTCCTCATCAGATACAGCAACCTTAATATCTCATTCTGTAAATAAGCACTTCCAAAAAAGAGTATTATGTAACTCCACAGCCTTGTTGGAGAAACTCAGGCACCCTTGCATTGACACCACCCATAACGTTCAAGAGTGTTTATTTGAACTGGTTTGAACTGAATGTCATTCATCACTATCAACTTTATAAAAGTGGGTATCATTTTATACAACGTGACTGTTTGGGTTTGTTTGGACAAATTTAGTTCACACCGCTACATCTTTTGACTCTCTATCCACTATTATTATTTCGCCATCAGTTGTAAACATTTATTCAATACATAAACTTATTTCAACCATTTATCCAATACTTATAGCTAACCGTTTGAACTTCCCTGCTTGCTTACCAACTATTTTTCTGCATCCTTCATCGCAAAAGATTAGTGTCTTTGACCGTTACTATATAGTTAGGACAGATAAACTGGAAAGGGGGATAGAGAAGGAATGACATGCAACTTACAGGGTGGTTTTGAACCCATGGCGCAGTAGGTAAGGACTCAGTGTCGATACATAGGCTGCAACTGTACCAGGGAGCTACAGTATGCGGTTAAATCCTAACTTATATTGTTGAAATTGTACAGCTGACTCAATACTAACATTCATTTTGCTTAATTAGTTGAGCTACTCCACATTCCTTCCATGTACCCTCTATACTGCAGGAAACCCCCTCTGGTATATAACCAAGTATGATCGTGTAACAGATCACACAGTCCAGTAGTGCCTCTGTTTTGGAGAAACTTGGTGCTCTGGCGACCTTTCCTTACAACGGCTCACTATCCCACATTGCCGTGACATGCCAAGGCTGCCTTGTTGAAACTGGGCAAGAACAGAAGACATTGCCTGTACGAACGTACACTTGTTTGCGTGTGTGAGTGTGCACAAGCGTGTGAATGTATGTGTCTTTCTCTTTGTGCTCAGTCTAGAGTGATTGATTTTGAAGTGTAGAATCTTGACAGAGTGTTCGGCTATCCCAGGAGGCACGAGACCACAGGGCCGAAACAGACTAGCAGCCATGGCTTTCTTCTTCTCTCTCTTTCTTCTGTTTCTCTCTCTGTACCCATTCTCTTCTGGCCTCTCTCCTCCTCCATCAATCCCCCTTTCAATCTAACCCCTTTTCCTCCTTGCAATTCCTACCCACCTCTTTGATGGGTTTATTGATATGTAATATTGATATTTATTGCTGGCTAAAATGAACCGCCGTCTTGCAGGTGGTGGGTGGGGATTCCTGATGTGGGTCAATAAGAGACAGACATGCCTGGTGATTTGAGGGAATTCCCAGCTGCTGTAGCTTATACTGCTGAGATTTAGCCCGTGTCAAACTCTCATCCATAGGAAGAAGAAAAGCAACTGAGATGTGAAATGGAGGGGTCTCAGGGAACATTGCAGATTTTCATTATTGTTTAAATAGATTGTATAGAGTGTGAATAAGCTATTCTATCACCTATCACTTACTGTCCCCAGCTATGTGTATATAGGTACTGTACCAGAAAGAGAGTGAGGGAATAAAGAGGTTCTGTTATACTCGCAGTAGCAAATGAATCCATAAGTGCTCCTTCTGCCCTTATGTCATGTATTTGTGGGAGTCTGAAAACGATATCAAAGTTGAAAATATTGAATTAAATGTACACTACACGTATGACATCACCATGGCTACACAACTCAGAGGAATTTCTTGAAATTACGCTGATGATTGGCTATATATTTCCACAAATAAAAGAAAATAACTCTGGAAACACTGTATCAGTAGAGCTGTGATGGATCCCGCTAAACTAACTCAATACAGCTGGGAAAATCTCACATTTGAGTTTGTGAATTGTACTGTAGTA